CTTGTTTTCAAGCCGGTGGTAAATATATATATAAATATATTTGATACTGTGGAAAACGGCTTAATGTCAATAATTGTATGTGCAATATATACATGACTCGGATGTAGAGCCGACTCTTACCGCTGAGTTCCTTGTTTATTTTTTCCGTCAATGGATACACAATTGTATTTCACGGAGAAACAACATTGATTATTTCACTGGGAGAAGCGCAATTATTTGGAACAAGATGTCGATTCTAATTTTTGAGCGAATGCGAACGTATACAGATCTAAGATGGGTAATAACCATTGTGTTCTCATTTCTTTCCAACACCGAGTAAAGATTAGATAAAAAAGTGGACCACAATTCAGACAGTGATATGACGGACGAATAACCTTGGGGGTGGTGACCAAGTGGTTAGGTCACCAACTTATGACCCGGAAGTCCCTTGTTCGGGCCGCTCCACTGCCGCCCGTCTCCCCTATTTCTGTATTTTCCCCAGGTAGCCGCAGCCCCCTTCCTGGAAGTGGACTGTATATTTGTGTATTCAATAAATAAAAAGAAAGTAAAAGACATTTTTTTTATGAAAAAGCAATCTGCAGCATTAGGCAAGTGGTGCATGTGACTATTATGAAATTGAATTTGTCATAGATCAATCAAAGGTTAAAGGAGCCCAGAAATTGGGGAGTACAACTGTTTCACATCTTTGAGGGACGACTGAGAACAAGGCCTGATGAATGGGGATTTTCGACCGGTACGTTTGCTATCCAACCAATAAATAGTGTACTCCCTACTGGCCTCAGAAAGCTTCAGTATAGTCCTGGGTGGATGTCTTGGGTTGTAACTGGTCACCTCCTTGTGTCCAATGAAATGCTCCTAAACGACCAAACGTCTCAAACAGCTTAGCTGAGGGTGATCTACTTACTGCCTTCATGTGGCGGTGTATTTCCATCAAAGTGAAAGGACATAAGACCAAAGTCCGGGTGGACCATCGGCAGTTCGCCTGGTTCCAAATTGACCAAAAAAGACGCAGCTATTTCGGCTACCCTCTCGCAGAACCGCAGGCCGGTTGCCTTCTTTTCTAGAACGTTATCTACAAATGAACGGCATCATTCACCTGTGGAGAAAGAGGCCAACGCCATCGTCAAATCTATTCGGAAGTGGAGACACTATTTGCTTGGCACGCACAGATCACAGATCAAAAATCGGTTGCCTTCATGTTTGATTCGAGACACCACGGTAAAATCAAAAATGATAAAATTCTGAGATGGAGAATCGAACTATCATGCTACAGCTTCGATGTTATTTACCGCCCTGGACACGAAAACGTGGCGGCTGACGCATTGTCTCGTAGCTGCTGCTCAGTGTCCACATCACTTGAACCGCTCAAGCAGCTACATCAATCACTGTGTCATCCCGGAGTCGTACCAATGCTCCATTTTATTCGGACTAAAAATCTCCCTTACTCTGTCAATGAAGTTAAATCAGAAATCAGCGGCTGCTCAATCTGTGCTAGGTGGAAACCACAGTTGTAAATGTCCTCCGGGAAATTTAATCAAAGCCACTGCGCCGTTTGAGAGGCTGAACATTGATTTTAAAGGTCCGCTTCCGTCAGAATCTCGAAACCGATACTTGTTGACGATCGTGGGCGATTACTCTCGATTCCCGTTTGCCTACCCCTGCGCTGACCTATCAGATGCTACAGTCATTCGGTGCCTCATCAATTAATCCTCGTTCTTTGGTATACCTTTCTACATACATTCTGATAGGGGTTCGTCCTTCATGTCCGAAGAGCTTAAGAATTTCCTTCATAACAATGGCATTGTCTCCAGCAGAACGACAGCCTACAACCCTCGCTCAAACGGACAACTTGAGAGACTAATCGGGACCCCTTGGAAGACTATCGTTATCGCAGCGTAATCCAAGGGTCTACCGTGTACTCAGTGGGAATCCGTTCTTCCAGAAGCTCTCCATTCTATTCTATCACTACTGTGTACAGCCACCAATGCGACCCCACACGAGCGATTGTTTTCTTATAATCGCAAATCTGCATCAGGAGTCTCCATATCAACATGGTTGAGTATTCCTGGACCATTCTTAATGCGTCGATTCTTGAGATTAACAAAAATCGCCCCCCTGGTGGACGAATTTGAGTTGCTCGAATGAAACCCCAAATACGCCCATATCCGTTTCCCAAATGGGCGAGAAGATACGATATCAATACATCACCTGGCCACCAGAGGTCAAGTTACTGAGTTACCAACGGGTACATACCCAGAACCCAATAAATCCGCAATCCCCGAATGTAATCCTCAGCCTCCTCATACGGAGAGTAACAATGAGACAACAACCACGAGCATTTCCCCACCCCTCGTTCAAAACACTGATCCATAAAATACAGAACCCGAAATACACCCATTATTAAAAGCACAACAACGCACTCATCCCTATGACCTGAGAAACTGAGAAGCATAGAACATTTTTACATACAGAAATTTCGACGAAAACTGTCCGCGAGGGTGAATGTTATGTTACACTTTTGTTTGTCATTTCACATTACTTTTTATTCGCCTCTCTAAATCTTCCCCTCATTCCTTTTCAGCCCCTGTCGTCCATTTGTATGTTGAATAAAGCCTAGGTATCGGGCTTTTGTCTTCTCCCCGTTCCACGGCTGTTGCGATCGTCTCTCACATCACCGAGAAAAAAACATTTTTCTTTTGTTTCGCTTGCATCTGGATTTCGCGACTTTTCCATTTGTTGGCGAGAAGAAGAACATGTTTCTCAGTTGGGCATATGGTTCAGGTTAGGTTATTGAAAAAACATGTAGCCAACTAGTTTATCTCTCATAGTTCATCAAATTCATCGCAGCTGAAATGCATCATTTATTTCCGTCAGAGCTGATTGTTACGTTGATCAGGGCAGCTTCATCGTTTGACGTTAAGACAGCCTAAGAACGAGTCAGAACAGAACGAAACGCTGCAAAACGGAATCACGTTGGCACTTGTGTGACACAACAGATCAAGTATTTAATACGCGAACTACCGCGTTTGAGTTTCTTCAGAAGAATGATTGCAAAAGCTTCGTAGCCCTCATTTTTGTACGAGCCACTAAGTGAAGCGAAATTCACCGATCGTTAGTGAAAATGTCTAAGAAAAGGGATTAGGACTACTTTTTGGTCGGGGGAGGAAAGCGAACCTCTATGGTCAACACAGAGAGTACACAGTCCAAATACGCACACGTGCTATTTCAAGCATTCTAATCTGATAAGAAGTGATAGCAAGATCACCGCTGTTGTCTGTTCACTGCTATATCCTTCAGTGTCTACAACCAATCAGTTACGGAATCTTTTGGAGCCCAACGCGGAAGACGAGAGAAGCCCGCTGTACCTAATCTCTCTGTGCACTTCTTCATGCCCTGTCTGCACGTCATTTGTTGGCCTCCAGAGTGACATTCACAGTTCAACTAGAAACGAGAACCAATCAGGAGCTATTTGACTGATCAGACCAAAATCTACTCTTCACTTGATAGCATTTAATGCCCACATATTCCGTCATATCAACCAACAAGCCAGATTAGTTAGAATGTTTAAAGCTTTATATTTAGGCGTATACTGTTTCCAAAACACATGCAAGACCTCCGATCAATTATCTCTGCGGTTTGCAGTCCAGATGTTCCCGCCAGACA